GATGTGGAGAAAAGGAAGTCCTTGTGCCCTGTTGGTGGGAATGCAAGTTGGTGCAGCTACTATGGAAAACAATATGGACATTCCTCAAAAAATTAAAAACAGAACTACCATACAACCCAAAAATTCCACTCCTAGGTATTTATCCAAAGAAAACAAACACTAATTAGAAAACACATATGTACCCTTATGTTCATTGCAGCAACAATAGCCAACATATGGAAATGACATAAATGCCCATTAACAGAAAAATGGATAAGATGTATATATCATTCAGATATATACAATGAAATAATACTCAGCCATGAAAAAGAAATGAAATCCTGCCATTTGCCACAGTATGGATGTACCTAGAGGGTATTAACACTAAATGAAATCAGACAGAGATTTTACTTATATGTGGAATCTCCAAAAATAAAAAACAAAAACAGACTAATAGATACAGAGAACAAATAGGTGGTTGCCAGAAGAGTGTAGGGTAAGGGAAGGAAAAGAAATAGGTGGAGGAGATTAAGAGGTACAAACTTCCAGTCACAAAATTAATGAGTCATGGGTATGGAATGTACATTGTGGGGAATACAGTCAATAACTATGTAATATATTTGTATGGTGACATACCATACCTAGACTTATCATTACGATCAATTTGAACTGTATAGAAATATCAAATCACTATGTTGTATACCAGGAACTAACGGCGTTGTTTGTTATGCTTCAAAAACTAACTCATAGAGAAATAGGTCAGATTCGTGGTTACCAGAGGTGGTGTCTTTTCACCAGATCGAAGGCAGGATGAGATGGTTGGATAGCATCACCATCTCAATACACACGAGTTTGAGCAAACTCTGGGAGATAGTGAAGGACGAGGAAGCCTGCAGAACTGCAGTTCATGGGGTCACAAACTGACGGACGCAACTTAGCAAGTGAACAACAACAGAGGTGGGTGGTGTGGTGGAGGGGGAATTGGATGAAGGCAATCAAAAGGTAGAAACTTCTGGTTATAACGTAAGTACTAAGGATGTAATATATAACAGGACAAATATAATTAGTGATGCTGTACATTATATACAAAAGTGGTTAAGAGGAACGCTAAGCATTCTCATCACAAGAAAACAATTTTTTCTATTTCTTTAATTTTGTATCTATGAGATGATGTCCATTTGTAAACTTTTCATGATTATCACTCCCTGTTGTATGTAATTAAATAATTATGCTGTACACCTTAAATTTATACAGTGCTATATGTCAATTATATCTCAAATAAAACTGGGACAAAAAATTTTTAAAGTCTACTGACTCAAATGTTTATTTGTATCAACTTAAGTACTGTCATTCTCTATTACTTTCATTATTTTTATTTACTTCTGTACCCCTCATTCCCCAAATTGAAAAACAACAACTCAAGAATGGTGTGCATAAAGGGTTAGCTTTTGATTTTTAATCATTATGAATGTAATGTCTAGAGTATAGATGATACTCAGTAAATATTTCTGAATGAACTTTTAAAAATGTTTTAAACTGAGATACTTAGATTCTATAGTCCCCACTATGAAAGTGGTCATTCTAATTTAGATTTTAAGTCACTAACAATTTAGAGATAGCACCTAAAGGAAGTAAAAGGCAAACCTTACATGAATTCATACCTGATTTTACAAGATAGGCATGTGCTCAGTCACTCGGTCATGTCTGACTCTTTGTGACCCCATGCACTGTAGCCCACCAGGTTCCTCTGTCCATGGGATTTCCCAGGCAAGAGTACTGGAGTGGGTTGCCATTTTTGTCTCCCAGGGAACTTCTTGACCCAGCGACTGAACCCGTTTCCTGTGTGTCCTGCATTGGCAGGTAGATTCTTTACCACTCGCCACCTGGGAAGTCCAAGATGAGCTTGGGGGCATGTTTACTGTGGTGGCTGGCTAGTTGAGATGAATCTGGGCATCGGATGACTTATTTCAAAGTATTTTAGAGGGCATGGGGGTCAGGGTAGTTTTTTAAAATCAAAGAATTTCATGCAGCTGCTCTTTCCTGTTGCTTCTATATGAGTAAGAATGGCTCTGCCTTCAAAAGAAGCTTGTAATCACCTTTTGTTGTCCTGATAAATGTTGGTAAGTAGAATTCATTGTCATTTACATCCATTGCCAGCCAACTGTTAGTCATCACCTCTTCAGTGTGAGATTTCAATGTAAAAATTATCAGATACACAATTAACCCGATTTTGATTGTTGAAAATTGTCTTTAACTCTCATGTTGCTGGGCAGTGCAATGTAAATTTATTTAAAATAACCAATAGGGACTTCCCTGGCTGTTCAGTGGTTAAGACCCCATGCTTCCACTGCAGGGAGCATGGGTTCAGTCCCTGGTCAAGGAACTAAGATTCTGCATGCTGCATGGTACAGCCATAAACAACAACAGACCCTAGGCATGGTCAACCAACACTATGTTGCTGCCTCAATTACATAAAAACCAACATAACTTAGAAGGATTCTGTGCCCTCAGCGTTTTAAAAACGTGGTACCACAGAATGTGATGAAATGAAAGGAAAAGAGTTCCAAATTGACCCTTTGGTCTAGAACAGGGTGCTTCTTATGAAAAAAGGCTCATCACTGCTAATTATTAGAGAAATGCAAATCAAAACTACAATGAGGTACCTATAGATTATCATACTAACTGAAGTCAGTCAGAACGAGAAAGACAAATACCACATGCTATCACTTATACTGTATGTGGATTCTAAAATATGACCCCAATGAACCTGTCTATGAAACAGAAACAGATTCAAAGGCATAGAGAACAGACTTGTGGTTACCAACATGGGGGTGGGAAAGGAATGGATTGGGCTTTTGGGATTAGCAGATGCAAACTATTATATACATAGAATGGATAGACAACAAGGTCTTACTGCATAGCACAGGTAACTATATTCAATACCCTGTGATAAACCATAATGGAAAAGGACATGAACAAGAATACATATAATGGAATCACTTCGTTGTACAGCAGAAATTAACACAACATTGTAAATCAACCGTACTTCAATAAAATTAAAAAATAGAACAGGGTGCTTCTCAAACTTTAAGGCACATCCAAATCACCTGGGATTCTTGTTTAAATGCAGATTCTGATTCAGTAGGTCTGGGGTGAGGCCTGAGATCATGCATTTCTGGCAAGCTCCCAGGTGATGCCAAGGCAGCTAGTCCAGAGGCCACACTTTGAGTAGCCAAGAGTCTGGAAGGCTAAAACTTAATAAAACCTCTGAAAACAAGCCCCTGGTAGCTCTGTTTGGAGTTTCAAGTAAGGTCAGTGATAGCCACTGTCAAATGTATGCTGCTCAGAGAGAAGCTGCATGTGATCATTAGATCTGAAGCATTTTCTCAGTGCACTTTCGGAGGATTTCCAACCCATACCTCTCTCCTGACTTCGGCACCTGTGTAAAAACCAATCACAGGCCACTCCTACCTAAAGGATTCATAGACTCCTCTGAAAACATATCCCACACAGAACACAATACCTTTCCTGGTTCCCAAATCCACCCTGGGCCTCCTCTTTCAGGGAATGGTAGCCTCATCTACTCAGCTACCCCAGTCGGACCTCTGGGCTGTGTTCTCCACCTCTTTTCCCACACAAAGTCCTGTCAGGTCTCTCTTTTAAGCAGCCCTTGAATCCACTCACTTCTGTCTGTCTGCACTTCTGCTGCCTTAGTTCATGCCACACACACATCTCCTGATTAAGGCGCAGTTGCATCTCTGCCCTGGTCCCCTTCTCCACCTTCCACAGTAAGCATGACTCTCTTACCCTCACCCCTCTGTTTGGAATACATCAAGGGCTCCCATCTGCCCTAGGCATAAAGCAGCTCATCAGCGAGCTTCATGAGGCTCTTTATCCTCTAGCTCCAGCTCACCTCTCTAGTTCTATTGCTTCCTAACTCCCCTTGAACTGTGTACTGTATTTAGACTTACATGCCATGACATCATCATCTTCCTGCTTACTGCATACCCTGAAAGCTGCTCTTGGAAACTGGAACCTGACCTCTCTACTCATCCTTTGCTTCCCTCCATCCCCACCCCCAGTTTATGTCTGATGACCTTCCCAAGTACTCTCTTAACATCATAACTTGACCAGTATCTCACTGGTTGGTGATCTTCCTCATTTGATATTATGTTTGGCACACAGCAAGTGTCCAACAAATAATTGTTAAATAAATACACGATCTGTAGATAAACAATCTTTAGGGAAACTCTTCTCAATATATTTACTCTGACCACAGTCTCTGCTGAACGCCAGCCCTCAGTGCTCGGAAGGAGGCAAGGAACAGATCTATAAACCACAGGTTTGACTACATCTCATGCTTAAAAATATTTGAAAAAAAGGCTACTACTGGTAGAGAGCCTTAAATACCTTCAAGTCTACTTTTCCTGGGAGCTGTTGGTCAATGGTACGAGAGCGTGGGTCTGTCAACTCTCAGCCCATTGGCCTCAAGAGCAGACAGCTCTGAGACTTAACTTTCCCCTGGAGCATCCCCGTGGGACCAGGCTGAAGCCAGGACTGTGTCTCAAATGGCAGGCTGGCTGTGCTTTCTCCCTTTTCTGTCTTGTTTCCCTCTCCCTCAGCATCTTCCGGGGAGCACTTCCTTAACGAATCCCCAGCACACAACTGTGCACCTTGGAGTCTGTTTCAGAGCCTAAGACAGCAGTGCTAGATGATAGAAAGGGCCATTTAGCACTTGACTGGGTTTCTAAGAAAGGCTCGATAGAACATATCTCAGAAACCTTTGAAAAAACAGAAGCGATTCTCATCGGTGTGGGAAGTCAGTGTGAACGTGCTCTGAGATAGGAAAAAGGATGAGATGGTCCCTCAAGGAACTAGTGTCAAACTTCACCAAATCAGACAAATGGCTCCCAGGGAAGCCGGTTCAATAACAGGGACTAAAATGGCCCACAGACTGAGTCATGCAGGACAATTTACTTATGAAAAGCTCTATGCCCCCCTGAGCAAAGCCATTCACCTACCAGCATTCTTCCGGCAGGCCTGCGGGTTGCACTTCTGGAATTCTGGGGGTCTGGGTTCGTGATCACACAGGCATTGGTCCTGGCTTTCGGTTTTACTGTTCTCTGAGGCCACGCAATGGACAGTCCTCTTCTGAAAGCCACCTCCACAGGACACAGTGCACTGGAAGAGAGGGGCACATGGAATGAGTCAGAATTCTCCCCCAAGATCGCTGGGGGCACTCCGGCAGAGGTGCTCTAACCCCACGGTGATCAAGTAGGTCGTGCTGCTAAGTCGCTTCAGTCATGCCCAACTCTGTGACTCCACGGACTGTAGCCTGCTAGGCTCCTCTGTCCATGGGATTCTCCAGGCAAGAATACAGGAGTGGGTTGCCATGCCCTCCTCCAGGGGAACCCAGGGATTGAACTCACATCTCTTAAGTTTCCTGCACTGGGAGGCAGATACTTTACCACTAGTGCCACCCAGAAGGACGGTCAAGTAGGGGAAGCCTCAATTATCACAAGTCTTTTTGAAGAAGTCATAGAATAGAAGCAGGAATGATTTAGAGATGTGAATTTGGGAAGAGTTTAGGTTATAGACTGGCAATTGAATTTGGCTTAATTTACTATTGGGTTCTCTGAAGAATGTGGACAGAGGGTGAACTTCAAGCAACACAGAAAAAATTTCATATCTGGATCCTGGTGCCTCAGTAATCCAGTTTCCCTAAACTGGTTTCACCCTGGGGCTGGGAATCAGGTGTGAGGAGAGGGCTCAGAGCTACAAGGAAGGCTGAGAGAGGATAAAAAGGGAAGAGGGAGAAGAAAAGCAAGGTGGAATGGAGGGAGGATTTGGAATGGACTTGGATGCATGTGTGGCCTCAAGCCACCTAACAGACAAGATTCATGTAATGTCCTGATGTATATGGCTGCCTGGAAGCATAATAAGACTCTCTGGGCTGTGAAAACCATCCTGGGGATGTAATAAAATGTGTCTGAAAATATTATATATACATATATATAGACATTCTTTTAAAAAATTATTTTTATTGTGGTAAAATATATACTGAAGAATTGATGATTTCAAATTGTGGTGTTACAGAAACTTTTGAGAGTCCCTTGGACTGCAAGAAGATCAACCAGGCAATCCTAAAGGAAATCAATCCTAAGTGTTCATTGGAAGGACTAATGCTGAAGCTGAAGCTCTAATATTTTGGCCACCAGATGCAGAGAGCCAAGTCACTGGAAGAGACCCTGATGCTGGGAAGGATTGAAGGCAGGAGGAGAAGGGGACGACAGAGGATGAGATAGTTGGATAGCATCACCAACTGAGTAAACATGAATTTGAGCAAACTCTGGGAGATAATGAAGGACAGGGAAGCCTGGCGTGCTGCAGGAGTTTGCTATGGAGTCGCAAAGAACTGGACATGGCAGCGACTGAACAATAACAATAAAAATATGTAAAACGTAATATTTATTTTAACCATTTTCCACTATACAGTTTCACTTAAATACATTCACATTGTTCTACGATCGTTACCACCAAACATCTCTAGGACGTCTCCATTTTCCCAAATAGAAACTCTGTATCCCTCCACCCACCCTTATCCCACCCCTGGCAACTATCATTCTAAATTTTTTTTCAGTGAACTTGACTACTTGAGGTACGTCATATGAGTGGAACAATACAGTATTTGTCATTTTGTGACTTGCTTATTTCAATTAACATCTTCAAGTTTCCTCCATGTTATAGCAAGGGTCAGAATTTCCTCTCTAAGATGCGACAACATTCCATTGTATGTAGAGAATACATTTTTTTTTTTTTTTTTTTGAGAACACATTTTCTTTATCTGTTGATGGACACTTGGGTAGCTTCCACCTTTCGGCTATTGTGAACCACATATACTCTTATGATTCACATTCTATTTCATATTTTACTACTTTTAGCCTCATCTTTCTTATATAATTAAAATCTCCCTAAGGGAAGAAATCAGTTCTCCTTTCTTTATCCTGCATGGCAAGGAGGTAAGTGCTAAACATAGCCTGACCATTCAGTAAATACTCATTGATTGACTGATAGAAAAAGACTGCTGCATGCCAAATACTGGAAAAATCTACAGGCCCTAAATATTCCATCTGCCATTTGAATTACTGTTGGTCAATAAGACTGTGATTGTTGTCCAGTCGCCAAATCATGTTTGACTCTCTGCGACCCCGTGGACTGCAGCACACCAGGCCTCCCTGTCCCTCACCATCTCCCGCAGTTTGCCCAAGTTTCAAGTCCAATGCATTGGTGATGCCATCCAGCCACCTCATCCTCTGATGCCCTCTTCTCCTGCCCTCAATCTTTCCCAGCACCAGGGACTTCTGCAATGAGTCAATTGTTTGCATCTGGCTTAGACAGTCAACAAGATTACTAGATTTTAAAATACTACCCACACTGGGGCACTACTGAAACTCAGAATACTGCTACCAAACCCTGTTTCCCACAAAATTCCAAATGTGATAAGAGGAGAAACATCAATTTTTTCTTAACACCCACAGCTTTATTTTAATCTGTTCTTCATAAAGCCTACAGCAAGGTGATAAGCATGGAAGTTCATGCTGTTTTATAAAGTCAGAGATTCTTCTGATTAAACCTAAAGGTAATTTTATTCAGTGAATAAAATGGATGAGAATCAAATTCTCTGTGGGGAAAAAGATAAGAAAATAACTATGTAACTGATCCTGAGTAGACAAAGTGTACAACACAGGACAGAGGGAAGAACAAGGGAAATTAATAAAGGGTGTTGGATGTCCTGAACCAGAATTCAGGAAACTTGGGATTTCTCACTCTTACACATCGTCCTGGATCTCACTCAACTGCTCTCTTTCTTCCACTGTAAAGTAAGATTGTTAGATAAAGAACATATGACTTCTGTTCTTGCTTTCTACTTCTAAGGATCTGATGGAACTAGGCTGGGCTGGTGGTCCTGGGTGCTGAAGTCACACAGGCCCCCTGGGCAGGACAAATGTAGATCAATGGAATACAGCAGAAAGCCCAGAAATAAACCCATGTACCTGTGGTCCATTAATTTTCAACAAAGGAGGCAATAATACACAGTGGAGAAAAGACAGTCTCTCCAATAACTGGTGCTGGGAAAATTGGATAATTTACCAGTTTTCCAATGTACAAGAATGAAATTAGAATATTCTCTAATACCATATACAAAAAATAAACTCAAAATGGATTAAAGACCTCAATGTAAGACTGGATACCATCAAACTCTTAAAGGAAATCAGAGGCAGAACACTCTGGCATAAATCACAGCAATATCGTTTTTGATCTACCTCCTAGAGGAATGAAAATTAAAACAAAAATGAACAAGCAGAACCTAATTAAATTTAAAAACTTTTGCAGAGCAAAGGAAACTGTAAACAAAATGAAAAGACAATTCACAGAATGGGAGGAAGTATCTGCAAATGAAAGGACTGACCAGGGATTAATATTCAAAATTTACAAACAACTCAGGCAGCTCAATATTAAAAAAAAGTAAGACTGGATACCATCAAACTCTTAAAGGAAAACAGAGGCAGAACACTCTGGCATAAATCACAGCAATATCTTTTTTGATCCACCTCCTAGAGGAATGAAAATTAAAACAAAAACGAACAAGCAGAACCTAATTAAATTTAAAAACTTTTGCAGAGCAAAGGAAACCGTAAACAAAATGAAAAGACAATTCACAGAATGGGAGAAAGTATCTGCAAATGAAAGGACTGACCAGGGATTAATATTCAAAATTTACAAACAACTCAGGCAGCTCAGTATTTAAAAAAAAAAAAAAAGCCCACAACCCAATAAAAAAAAATTGGGCAGAATAGCTAAATAGACATTTCTCCAAAGAAGACATACAGGTAATTAAAAAGCACATGAAAAGATAGTCAACACTGAGACTTCCTTCGTGGCCCAGTCCTTAAGACTCCGAGCTTTCAATGTAAGGGGGCACATGTTCAACCCCTATTTGGGGAACTAAGACCTCACATGCCACAGAGACAAAAAAAAGGTACTCAACATTGCTAATTATCATTATTGTTTTAATGGCTAAGTCATGTCCAACTCTTTTGCAACCCCAGGGACTGTAGCTCACCAGGCTCCTCTGTCCTTGGGATTTCTCAGGTAAGAATACTGAAGTAGCTTGCCATTTCCTTCACCAAGGGATCTTCCTGATCCAGAGATTAAACCTGCGTCTCCTGTATTGGCAGGCAGATTCTTGACCACTGAGGTCTAGGGAAGCCCTCACTAATTATTAGAGAAACGCAAATCCAAACTACAATAAGGTATCACCTCACACTGGTCAGAATGACCATAATAAAAAATCCTACAAACAATAAATGCTGGAGAAGGTGTGGGTAAAAAACCTTCCTATACCATTGGTGGGAATGTAAATTGGTACAACCACTATGGTGAATAGTATAGAGGCTCCTTAAAAACTAAGGTTGCCATATGATCCAGCAATACCACTCCTGGGTATGTGTCTGGAGTAAAGAATAATTCAAAAAGACACATGCATATAGGGTTATTGTTACCATCTTTGAAACAGATCACCAGCCCAGGTTGGATGCATGAGACAAGTGCTCAGGGCTGGTGCACTGGGAAGACCCAGAGGGATGGGATGGGGAGGGAGGCGGGAGGGGGGATCGGGATGGGGAACACATGTAAATCCATGGCTGATTCATGTCAATGTATGGCAAAAACCACTACAATACTGTAAAGTAATTAGCCTCCAACTAATAAAAATAAATGGAAAAAAAAAAAGACACATGCACCCCAATGTTCACTGCAGTAGTCGTTACACTAGCCAAGACACTGAAGAAACCTAAATGTCCATCAACAGATAAATGGATGAGGTGGGTGTGGTACATATTCAAGAACATTGCATGCATGCTCACTCAGTTGTGTCTGACTCTTTGTGACCCAATGGACTCTAGCCTGCCAGGCTCCTCTGTCCATGGGATTTCCCAGGCAAGAATAGTGGAGTGGGGTGCCATTGCCTTCTCCAGGGGATCTTCCTGACCCAAGGATCAAACTTCGGTCTCCTTCATTGGCAAGTAGATTCTTTACCACTGGGCCACCTGGGAAGCTCCCAGTGGGATTTTATGCCCATGAATGGGCCCAAATTCATAGCATTTTTATGACTGTTCATATTATATCAAATTTTCTTTCCTGATGGTCACATTTAATTTGATTAGTGATGCTTATAATTGTGACAGAGGACACCAGGGTATTTATGAAGAGCTTAATTCTAAGACACATCTTTATTTGTTGAGTACAATATTTTCAGGTTGTGAAATCAAAGATGGATAAGGAAAAACTGGGTTTTAGAAATAACTGAACCTCTAATAAATAGGAAATAAATTTCCAAGGCAGATATTTTAAAATGCCTGAATGTAAATTAAATTTTCTTATTCTGAAAAATAATACAAGTGTATGACATTGTTTTCTGATGTTCACAAGACCCATGGGGCAGAGAAGAAGATGGGTACTGCCCCTGGCATAGAGCTTAGTAGCATGCATAACCAGAAGCTTGCATGGACTCCAGAATCTCCTTTGGCAATTCATCACAACTCAACATTCGATGTCAACGAACATAGGGCATTTATAGAAATTACTATGGGTCCTATCTGTCTAAGGGAATAGTTGATGTCACTCTTCATTGTCTACTGGGCATTTTTAAGGTATGAAAATAATAAAATATGTACTTTTAATTTGTTGCAGGCTAACTGATTAATGTACAATATTCTTTTGGCAGTAATGAGTCATCTTATTCTTCATGGGTTGAGTGGATGTGGTATCCAGAGACTGATGCAACCTTAAGTTGGATGCACCAATAGGAGTCTTTTTTTTAAGAGTACATGCCAGCATTCATATTGATCATGGCTATGCAGGTATAACTAGACAAGTACAACAATGAAAATTACTAAGAACATATCAATCTAAGACTATCTGGGGACATGATATTTGGCAAAATACTGCATTAGCCTGTGTTATAATTATAACCATCAAAAGATACTTACATAAGAACAAGTTACTTTAAAAAATATTAATAGTTGAAGGGTAGTGTGTCAGACCCTCTAGCTCTCCTTGTCTCCCACTGTTGGCCTTTGATGGGCCCCAACTGATAAGGCAACCCACTTCATGGAAGCACAACCCTTGAGCTTGTTGTGTGCCTCTTACCCTGACTCTGAATTTTGTTATTGCCAGTGAGATGTGAGACCCACTGGGACCTGCCCACACCTGAATGACCTAGGACAATGGGAGATGCTACCCATCAAAGGGGAGACTTTTACACAATGTGGGGAGATAGGAGCCAGTAGATAATCTCTCTTCTTGTCTCTGGACAAACTAAGCCACAGCAGTTCAAACAGCTTTATAAAGACCTTCTTTCAAGAGCAAGCCATCAGCTGCTCTTAGACACCAAGCAGTCTAAGGTTAGGAAAAAACAGTCATCCTGGGAATGGACCACCTTGCCCTTGATTCCCCTTCTTCCCTGCCTCCTTCCTCTTTTCTATCATTTCTGCTTCCCTAACATTGTATTGTCTTCTATAAAGTATTAGATTTTTGATTCAAGGCTTTATTTTCTAGAGAACCTAGAATAAAACAAGTCAGAGTGATAGAAGAATCATTCTATGGGAGAATTATTTTATTTTCAGTGTCATTGATAGTCTTATTTCTACAATAAATAAACTTTGTAAGAATTGTAAGACTTTCCTCCATTTACAATTTAACGATTTTATTTGTCTATCCATCAAACATGCTGGCCTTTAGGCAAACTGATAATCTGTGGGTTGACAAGTGACCAGAACTTCAGTATATCATGATAAGCCTCAAGCTTCAGGGCACATGCAACTTGTATATGCTCTAGAAAAAGTCAGAGGATCCAAGATGGTTAGGACCCCAAATCACTTTTCCTTAGGCTCTCTTCCTCTGAGCTAGTTTTTAGTATTTTTCCTCTTTTGAAAGTATTTGATCTTCTCTTCTGAACTCAAGATAGTTAACATTGAGCACCATGTCAGTCATGGGTCAACTTTCAGCGTTGTTCTTGTTCTGTTGCTCAGTAGTGTCTGACTCTTTGCAAACCCATGGACTACAGCATGCCAGGCTTCCCTGTCCTTCACTATCTCCCAGAGTTTGCTCAAACTTATGTCCATTGAGTCAATGATGCCATCCAACCATCTCATCTTCTGTCGCCACCTTCTCCTCCTGCCCTTAATCTTTCCAAGCATCAGGGTCTTTTCCAATGAGTCAGCCCTTTTAGCATACTTAGACATATTAGAAAGCAGAAGGGTAAAATATAGAACTGAAAGAATTTTTGGTATATATATATACACAACGGAATATTACTCAGCCATGAAATAATGCATTTGAGTCAGTTCTAATGAGGTGGATGAACCTAGAACCTATTATACAGAGTGAAGGGAGTCAGAAAGGGAAAGATAAATACTGTATGCTAACGTATATATGGAATCTAGAAAAATGGTACTGAAGAATTTATTTACAGGGCAACAACGGAGAAACAGACATAGAAAACAGACTTATGGACATGGGGAGAGGGGAGGAGAGGGTGAGATGTGTGGAAAGAGTAACATGGAAACTTCCATTACCATATGTAAAATAGATAGCCAAGGGGAATTTGCTGTATGGCTCAGGAAACTCAAACAGGGGCTCTGTAACAACCTAGAGGGGTGGGATGCGGAGGGAGATGGGAGGGAGGTTCAAAAGGTAGGGGACATGTGTATATGTATGGCTGATTCATATCGAGGTTTGACAGAAAACAGCAAAATTCTGTAGAGCAATTATCCTTCAATGAAAAATAAATAAATGCATAAAACACTTTAAATCAATGGACACATTAGACATTTACAGGAATAATATATAACTTTTAACATCAAAAGAAAACAAATGCCATTTTTTTAAAAGACTAACACAAATGAGAGAGATTCTAACTGATTCTTACCGGGTCCCAGTTCCCAGCGACCCAGTGACAGCAAGGGTGCCCGCTGCAGGATGTGGTGGACGTGGGCCGTTTAGTCCAGTCACAGAGGCCTCCTGGACAAGTCACCCCTCTCTTCTGAACTCCGCCTCCACAGGAGCTGGAACACTGGTCCACAAGAGGGACAAGGTCAGGTGAAAATCACAAGGTATCATTTTCAGAGATAAAGGGTAGGGATGTGTCCTTCTCCACTGTGTCTGCAGCGCATGACACTGCACCTGGAAGATACAAATGCTCAGTAGAGGCTGAGTAAATGTTTATTTTAAAAAATACTCGACAGTTCATCTCTAGCTCCATACTCTGTATTTCAACCCATTCCCCCCCAATAATTTAGTAAGAGGGGTTTTTTTTTTTCCTTTTCAGTTCTGAAATTTAAAAAAAAAGAATGTGTCAAATAAGTCTGCAACTTTTTTTTACTATAATATATTGTTAAGTCATAAAGATATATAAATTTGTGAAGATATAGATGTATATCATATTAAACATAACTTTTCTTTAGAGCAGAAATTCCCATGATTGCCAAATAAATTATTTCAAGTGTGGATAATAAACCAGTTGGGTGAGCACTGGCTCAGTCTGAATTGAGATGAGGCCTAGCCTATCACAGTATATCACAAAGTTGATAACAACAAATAGGCCCAGCTGTTCTGTGCTGTTCTGAGTCCCTCAGTCATGTCTGACTCTTTGTGACCCCATGGACTGAAGCCCTCCAGGCGCCTTTGTCCATGGGGTTCTCCAGGCGAGAATACTGGAGTGGGTTGCCATGCCCTTCTCCAGGGGAACTTCCTGACCCTGGCCCAGTTGTGTTAAGTCCAAATCTTGGTGGTTTTATCTGATCACTGTAGCATGTTCCTAGTTTCTTCACAATCATGCGTATTTGGATGCTTTTCACCAAAGTATGTAAAAATAAAGTACAGACTGCCAAAAGAGCTATTATTCACTTTTAAATAAAGAACCCAAGACAGAAAAAGTCAATTGAATTATATTTTCTTTAAAATTTACTGTTAATTTGTTATTCACACTGTTATTAAGAATATTAGTATCTCTATTGGCGCCTGGAACATCTGTGTCGAGTTCCTCACAATGGCCACTTAGTCAATTCAAAGACAGTGGTGAAACAAGCCCTAAGACTTAGCCTTCCCACCAGCAGGAGAGCACCAGTCCCGACCCTGTCAGGGCCCACAGCCAGCTGCACTGGAACCTCGCCCCACCCACCAGTAGGTCAATAACAGCTCCAAGATCCCCAGGCCATGCAAGTAGCCACCATGGAATTAACAGCCTAGGAATTAACCAGATCAGGAAGAGCCCCACCTACCAGAGCTCCCACAGTAGTCAGTTCCACCACAGGAGAAGGGTCCATGCAGCCCACATGGGGGGTACCCCTAGGGCATACAGCTCTAGTGACCCAAGGGGAGTGTGCTGCTGCCTCATTGGACACCTCCTACATAAGGCCACTTCTGCAAGACTGGGAAATGTGACCAACCTACCCAAGAGGAATAAACAACACAGAGAATTAGGCGAAATTAGAAGCCAGAGGAATCTGTTCCAAATGAATGAACAAGACAAAAGTCTGAGAAAAAGAATAAAACAATGTGGACATAAACAATCTGCTTGATGCACTGAAGAAGGAAATGGCAACCCACTCCAGTGTTCTTGCCTGGAGAATCCCAGGGATGGGGTCGCACAGAGACGGACACGACTGAAGTGACTTAGCAGCAGCAGCAGCAGTGATTACATAGCAGTAGTTGTAATGTTAGTCGCTTAGTCGTGTCCGTCTCCTTGCGACCCCACAGACTATATAGCCCACCAGGCTCCTCTGTTCATGGAGTTCTCCAGGCAAGAATACTGGAGTGGGTTGCCATTCCCTTCTCTAGAGGATCTTCCCAATCCAGGGATCAAACCCAGGTCTCATGCACTGCAGGCAGATTCTTTACCATTTGAGGTATAGGGAAGGTAAAGATCATAAAAATGCTTAACAAATTCAGGAGAAGAATAAGTGAATAAGGTGTGAATTTCAATAGAATTAGAAAATATAAAGAAAGACCAGACAGAGGTGAAAAATACAATAACTGAAATAAAAAGTACATTAGAAAGAATCAGTAGTAGATTAGATATTACAGAGGAACATATCAGTGAGTTAGAAGAGTAGTGGAAATCACTCAAGCTGAACAGAAAAACAGAAAGAATTTTTTAGAGGCCTCAGAAGAAATAAATTCTGCCAACACCTTGATCTCAGACTTTCAGCTTCTATAACTCTGAGAAAAAATATTTTCATTGTTTAGGCCAAAAAGCAATAACAGAAACTAAAACAGTGGTGAAACAAGACTTAAAGAAAGGAGACCGATAAAGAAAATTCTGGGGATAAGAGGAGGGGGAAAAAAATCAGAAGATGCTGAATAGTTCAATATGTCAAATGGAAAGAATTCTGGTCAAGAAACCAAAATATAAAATGTAGGTGTTTTTATTCTGATTAGCTCTGACAGTCCTAATGGAGAGCACACTTCTGCAATAGAATTTTGTTCTGTTCATCTCCTATTAAAATGGGACTCAGCCTTCCTTCCTCACTACATTAAGTTTTAGAATTAAATTTATTCATGTTTGAATGGTGATGTTGATAGGTTTTCTAAGGGTCTGCAATGTTCACAAAATAAATTCGAGGTGACAAGTTTGATTCTTGAAAGAATATAATTCTAAAATGTGTCAGGTTTTTGCTCACTAGAATAATTTTCTGAGCTATATTGTTTCATTTTCCTGAGGTTTCTAGAAGAAAATTAAGATAATTCACCAAAAATCCTTGAAAAATACTTCTGAGTACTTTGAAAAGCACTTTGAAAAATCTTGGTATTTTGAAAAATCTTAATTATGGCACGGTAACAATAACAAAACAGTTATGATCTCCAATATCATGCCTATCACATTAGGCACTATGTGTGTGGTGGTAATCATAGAAAACAGGGAAATTATACACAATTAACCTTTCTGTTCAATAAAAGAACTAATCTATTGCTTTCCCAATATTCCAACTTTTGAGAGTCAACACGGATCTTTTCCCACTTATTCACTGCTTTTAACCTTATATGAGGAGGGAAGGAGAGGAACCCCACTTTTGGGATCCTGTTGTATACCTGTATGTGTGCATATAGACACAGGGTTACCTGGCCAAGTAATCTCCAGGAAGGGGAAAGTGGTCCTCAAAGTGTGGTCCCCATAGCAACAACTTCAGTATCTTCTGGGTACTTGTTAGAAATGCAAAACTTCAGGCCCTACCCCAGACTTCTGAATTGGACACCATGGGGATGGGGTTCAGACATCTGTGTGTTGACGAACCCTCCAAGTGATCCTGAAGCATGCTAAAGTTTGCGAACCAGTGAGGGACATTCTCACAGTTGAAAGGTATTTTCCATGGCAAGTAGTTTAGGCTGGGTGACACTCACAAGGACCCCAAAACATTCCCATGAAGGCATCCGTTAGATAATATGCATGTACAGAGCAGCATCATGAGGGCTCAGCAAAAGCACCTAAAGGTGCCCAGTCCCTAAACAGTCCCCTGACATTTCTGGGGAAATGTTCAACCAACTTCAGTATTTTCTGTCCTTACTGTTCCCTCTGAGGAAAGTCTTCCAACTGTGTGGTTTGCTCAGAACAGAGCAATTTATTAAGAAGGGCGTTGGGAGGTCTTCTGGAAACAGGCTCATGATTGAGAGTCCGTGGAAGAGGAAATAGACAGAAAATATCTTTTTCACAACCAGAGAGCAGATACAACTGGTCATCTTGGATAACTCGCAATTGCAATTTCTCTGACAAGGCTATCTAAGCTCCTCTGCAAATTCCAGGATTCTGGAAGCTGTCACCAGGAAAACCCAATGGACAGAGGAGCCTGGTGGGCTACAGTCCAAAGGGTCACAGACAGCTGGACACAACTGAGTGACTAAGTACGTCACCAGGCCCAGCAAACATGGAAAGCTGAGAGGCCTAAGTCCAGAGCCTGGGAGTGGGAGGCACTTTATGTCCCAGAGCAAGACAGGGAAGGAGGTGAAAGAGAGGACAGTGGTGGTTGTTGCCCTCAGGAAATACCAGGGGCCTCAGGAACCAGCATGGCTGCTTGACCCGGTGGACAGTAAGAAGCTAGAGGGGATTCAGTCTTCCAGGGCTGGACACTAATTCTACATCCCACACTGTGGTTTTCTGTCTTACCTTTTCTAGCATGCAAAGTTACTGACTTACTCTTCTTAGTTCTCTCTTTGGTCCATGTCTATTCAGCTAAATTCTACAGTATAGAATACAGGAATCAGAGTCAACTTGAAACTTGAATTAATACTCCACAATTTATTTTCTAGTTGTGTAAGCTTCTTAACCTCTGAGTCTCAATTAAATTCTTTCTTTACCTATAAAATGGAATCAATAAGGCCTACCATCCAGGTTGTTACAAGAATTAAAACAAGTAATGTAGGTAAAATGCCCAGTGCATGCACACATTCAAAACACACAGAGCTCTTTCTTTCCCTCTTATTTCTATCATAGTGTAGTTGGGAGTATTTTATTTTTTACTGAAGCCACTAGGGAAATGAAATCATTACATTTCACCAAAGAACAGTAACTTGGCTTTACATACTGAAGTGAGACGAAGATGAAGCAGAATCCCAGCCCTCGCAACACAGGATGGACATACACACACACATACACATCCCTCTTTTTATTTGTGTAAACAAGATCTGGGCATTTGAGAGGTAGGACTCTGAAATCATACTGTGTGGAAAGGATCTGACCATTATGCCCAGGCTAAGAGGGGCATGTGATGATCTGTCCCATATGCTGCTCATCAAGGCGGTTCATGTACAACCCCAATTCCCCAGTATATCCACTGAGACTAGGTCATAATAAAACACTGAACAGTCACAGTTTAAATCACACAACATAGCCTTCAAATTGTTGGGCCTGTCCAGCCTCCCCACCTGCAACTGAGCAGGACCCTAAGGGGCCTTCCCAGCACAGCCTCACCCCCACCTCCACCTCCCCCACCATGTCCTCCACCCGCCTCTTGTCTAGAGAAAAACTTCCTTGGCCTTCCCCAATTTCCAAAGTGTAAATTTAATCACAAAGTGAGAAAATGCAGAAAGGAAAACAATCAAGCAAAACCAAAATAATAACAACGATATTGGGCTGGCCATTAAACAAAGTCAAAGACCTTTACTTCCTTTCCAAGGGCTATAGATAATAATCTGAGCCATGTCCTCTGAGCTGTTGTATAGATACTGAAACCCCTATCAGGGGGAAGAAGTTAACTATATGCTGCCCACAAGCATGTAGACCCCAGAAGGCTGGGGTTGGACCCAGAAGGCTGATGATGTTGACTCCTGATTACCTCACTATCAACCAGTCCGAAGAATTCCACAAGATGAACACACACCCTACTACTCCCACCACCCCCCGCCCCATTCTGATTTTAAAACCTTTATCCCGAAAGCCTTCGAGAATTCAAGCCTTTTAAACACTAACTACCTGGACTCCTTGCTTAGCACACTAGCTATAATAAATGCTACACTTTCCTTCACCGCAACCTGGTGTCAATAGATTGGACTTACTGTGTATGGGCAAGTGACCCACCTTTGGATCAGTAACACACACGGTGTAAGGCGTGAATGTAAGGAGGCCAGCCACTGGCCTGAGGGATGTGTGGGCTTCCCTGGACTCACAAGGTGACACAGAAACTCCCGTTTTCCCAGTTGTGTAGATGGTGCACTAGGCGCGGTACCTCGCTCCAGGGCTCCACCTGCCACTCCTCGCAGGGCTCCACGTTACAGCTTGCGGTCAGTGGAGGGGGAAGGCCGGCCAGGAACCGGCAGTGAAATGGCCTCAGACTCCGGTGGTCCCGGCTGTCCACACACTGAATCTCCCGGATCTGGAAGCCTCCGCTGCAGTTTCTGGAGCACTGTATGGAGAGTGAGAGAAAAGGGGACACCTGAGTCCTTGGCATCAGGCTGTCCACTCCCAGATACCCAGGGGGTTCACAAAGGATCACAAAGCTCGCAGCTTTGAGTTCCCAGCTTCTAGAGAGGCTGGTGACCTGTCTTTCCTCACACACCGTGGAGAGAAGAGTCACTTAGCAGATCCCTAAGATGGGGCTCCCCGTGTTAGAAAATGCAGGTGTGGAAGTGTGAGAACCGGGTGACAAACCCTGTTCTGTCACTGACTCACTCTGAGCCCTTCCTTGGATGAGCTGCAGAAACGTTCTGAGCCTCAGCTGTCATGTCTGTAAACTGGGGCAACAACTGTTATACGGGGCTATCCCGAAGACTGCGTGGGGGTGGGCTTGGGTGACGCCAGTGCAGCTGCTCCTTGGGATGTCTGTGTTCACTGGAGGCAAATGCAACTGCCCACGAGGGGAGCTCTCTGCCAAGACACACCCAACTCCCCCTCAGAATCCTGCTGAAAACCTCCTTTCTCCCTGACTCTGGACACAGGATTGGTTACCATTTTTTAAGGAAAACAAAGTGAATAACTGCTCAGTGGTTTCATCCCGGGAGTAGGCGAACCCTGTCCTTGGCCCCACTGCCAGGCTTCCCTGCACATCATCATCGCCCATCATCTTTCCTCCTAAGGCTGCCATAGCATGCCTCCATCNGTCTTGGTCACCATTGCGTCTTGAGCATCCACCATGGGGCCAGGCATGGCACAGATGCTCCTCACAGCTTGTGGAATGAATATATGAATTCTGAGAAAAGGGAAGTTGGGGATTCCCAGTGGGCCAAAGAACTCTGTGGTTACCATGGGGATAAAGAGCAGCCTTCTGCACCCGCCCCATCCTTCCATAAATGTTCTCATTACATTTTGACTGAGAAAATACACCACCACCAAAGCCCACTGCTGTAGGGTATGTTTCCATCTGGCCCCTTCTCTACTTGGTAAAATACCATGTTCCCTTTCCGGCTATGGTGGAATAGCCATAATTGTAGTGTTGTGGATGGTGAAAGAAAATTTCTCAGAATCTTTCATTAGAGGTACCTCAAAAAATACTGATCCCCCCCCCCTTTTTTTTTGCCATTTGGCAGATAGTGCAAGTCACCTGAATGCAAAACTTGGATTGTAGCATAGCAGATGTGGGCCCATGAGACAAGGGGGCAGATGGATGCTCTAATGCTTCCATAAATCAAGTGTATTTAGCTTCTCAGAAATAAGCAACACTTGCCAGACAGCCCCCCAAAAGCAAATTTAAAACTTCATTTGCCTGCCATGCTGTAAGCACACAGAGAACGAAATAACTGCCAGTTTAAAATCAGCCACAGAACAAACAGGCAGAAAATTCTACACAAAGCAGCCCTTTGTTTGACAGATTTCCAGGAAATAACCCAAGGTTAAGACAAGAGGGCTCTTTATTAGGGATAGGAATTTTACAAGACTTAGTGTACAATGCGGGTTTATTTTCTTATTTTTCATTTGTTGCTACAATTTGTTATTCCTAGAGTTTTCAAATTAGTATTACCCTTTTGTCAAAGAGTGCATTCACAGCCAGGGGGAAATGAAGTTGATTAATATGTTGAAGTAAATATTAAGGAAGGCACTCACTAAATCTGTGACTTTTCTATTTCATTTTCAGAAGGGCCTCTGATTCAGTTAGCAAGAGGGAAGTAGCAGGGCATTAAATCACTCCACTTTGAAAACTGCTCTGCCCTGGTGTATCGAATGCCAATTACTATATTCATTTTCTTCTTGCCCTAAAGGAGGGCTATTTATATTCCTGTTTTCCTAACCTGGAGCCTGTGGACCAGACTGAGGACAGGAGCCAGGCTAAGGAGAATAGAAGGACTGGCTGATGATGCCCATGTGCGACCAAACAGGTCTAGCCATTTTCTGGTTCCCATGCCAGTCTGTTTAACTGATGTGATCAGCAAACCAGACTGAGTTAGAATGAAGAATCCTCTTGGCTTACAGGAGCCACTGGCAAAGAGAAAAATAATACACTCACAACCAGTTTTCCTTGTGTCATTTCTGATTTATGGAGCCATCCTGATACATTTTCCATGTTGGACTCCTACCTAGTGTTCAAATGAATATAGTGAAATTAACCAAACTGAAATTGGGAATCAGTAGACTGCAGAAAGGGAAGAGGAACTAAAAAACCTCTTGATGAAAGTGAAAGAGGAGAGTGAAAAAGTTGGCTTAAAGCTCAACATTCAGAAAACTAACATCATGGCATCTGGTCCCATCACTTCATGGGAAATTGATGAAGAAACAGTGGAAAGAGTGTCAGACTTTATTTTTTGGGGCTCCAAAATCACTGCAGATGGTAGGATCANAGTCAGACACGGCTGAGCGACTGACCTGAGCTGAACTGACTGAGACTGCATTCAAGTATCTCCCTGACACCAAGTGGCTATGTGACTGCACCTCTGTAAGCCTCTGTTTTCTCCATTAGCATTAAAAAGAGGATAAATTGGATGATTAAACTCTTTCATATTCTATAGTGATATAAGTGTCTGGGATCACTGGACTTGTATTATGCTTTGGTTTCAGAATACTTTCTTGCTCTCCGGAAATACTAAGCAAGGACATGGAAATAATTCCTTTTTGCTCCTTTCCTAATACTAAACAGATTCATAAGACTCTTAAGATCATTCAAAAATAATTCATTCCAAAAATTCTATTTTGAATGGCACCAAAATTCATTCATCTGTCTACTCTCCCATCCCATCCCCACACTTCTCTTCCTCTCTGCTATTAGGCACTTAATTATGTGCCGGCTCTGTACGCCAATCTAGCAGAAGGAAAAAGTCATGCAATGAGCAGAAGTCATGAAGATGATATGTCATAAGCTGTTCATAATCCAGTGAAGGAACAGAGGAGGAGGTGGTTGATTTGACTTGAAGAAGGAAAGGCTCGAAAAGAGGAGCCAAACCTTGAACTGTATCTTGTAACGTGGGTAAATGCTCACTCAGCTGGCAAACAGTGTGGGGGGCATTCAAGGTGGAAAGAATGACTATGCAAGTGGAGTGAAGCAACAAGTCTTGTTCGGGAACAACATGTTCCCGACACTATCAGAATGCTAGAGTGGAGGATACAGATGGAGAAAGAGAGATGGGAAGGGGCCACGATAAAGGATCTCATGGTTTGAACATCAGTCCTCAGCTAAAGTGATCTTGAAGGCTTTCTTTAATTGCTGTTCTTTTCTCACTTAGGGATTCCCCTTCATCTAAAACACCTGGGGCTTCCAAAAGTGGGTAATAGGTTAGACATACAGTAAATAATACCAAAAGAAAATAAATGCAGTGATTTTGAGTGTATTATTTTCCTTCTGGCAGGTCAATTTTTGCTTTCTGGGCACAGAAGCTCCCCTATAACATGCAATTCTCTGCTATGAAATTTTACACGTTGGGCTTCAGTATGTTTCTGGGAACATGTTATATATGAAAGTCTGTACTTAGCAAGACAGGGTCTCTTTCCCTATATTATTCATTTGTAAAAGTTCAGATCCCCCCCCAAAATGTAGCACTGAATATTATGAAATGCAAGGTCATAAGAAAAGGTTGCCACTTTTATTTTCAAAAAAAGTGACAGATAATAAAGTCAGCTACTGTAAAATAAAATTGCAACACTGCCTAGGTGGGGAGACAGATCATTCCAAGAAAATGTAAAAATCTTTGATTCATTTCAGAAATAATCAAAATCTGTTCGACTGAACTATGAGAAGTTATTATCATTCTGAGAGAGATAATAAAGAGGTTGTTAAATCACCAGTTTATAAAGCTGCTGGACGTACAGTCAAAATGTTCAGTTAGGAAGTGTGTGATGATGCATAACTTTGGTGTCAAACCCAACTGAAAGTTTTTAAAGCTCATCTTTGTCACTTATTGCATTTCTTTCAGCACAAGAATCAGCTTTTTTTCCCTTAGACAAATTTTATGTTCTGAAATGGCATGCGTCTTAGACTGGCATACATATTTATTATGTGGTGTTTCCTTTCCTTCTGAAAAGCTGTCATTACATTGATGAGTTGTCCCCCAGTTGATGATTTTTCAGAATTGAGAGTATCAGTACCAACTGATCATGTGCTAGTGATTTAAACCCTCTAGGCCTTCACTTCCTCAGTGGGAATTAGAAAGAAGGTCCTTTATTGGATGAAAATACGATTGTTCCTCTAAAATTCCTGTGCAGTGTCAGGCGTGTAGGGGTATTTGGTGAGTCCCAGGACACCAGGGAGGTCAGTTCTGCCAAAGTTCATGGAGGACCCTGACTCCTTAGTGCTGGGGAGTGGAGACGATGGATTGACAGGACTTACTCCACCAACCCCTGTTCACAGTCCCCTGCCCCAAGTCCAGGAAGCCACAAGTTAGTAAGCACCTGAGAACTACTCCCAGCCTTTACCCAGAGCTCAAAGTTCACCCAAGGCTTTATATGAACAGTTTTTTTTATCATTTACAAAGTGGTTTCACGAACACTCTTTGACTTGTACAACTTCATGAGGTTGGTAGAGGCCATGTGATGTACTTCATTTCCCAGAGGTGAGAAAACTAAAGCTCCTAAGAGGCTGGAAGAATGGATTAGCACCCTACACTGGTGACAGCGTGTGTGCTAGTGTGCTAAGTCACTCAGTCCTGTCTGACTCGTCATGACCTATGGACTGTAGCCTGCTAGGCTCCTGCATCCATGGGGTTCTCAGGCGAGAATACTGGAGTGCCATGCTCTCCTCCAGAGGAATCTTTCCAACTAAGGGATTGAACCCAGGTCTCCTGCATTGCAGGCTGATTCTTTACCATCTGAGCTGCCAGGGAAGACCTTGGTGACAGAGTGGGGCTGCCACCCCAGACATGTCTGATCCCAGGCTCAGTGCTGCTTCTAGGATTTAATTCTGTAGAACTATGCTTTCTCCAGTATGCCTCTGGGACAAACCTAAAGACCATGATCTCAACTTTGTTTCAGACAGATCAATGCATGAAGAAGCAGCAAGTCATTCCAAAAACAACTTCTGGACTTTGTAAAGGTAGAGATCTTAATACACAGGCTCATTGTACTGTCACAAATATGAGAAAATGTCCACAGCAGTGGTATCAGGACTCCATCAAGGAGATGAATGGTGCTGGAGACAGAAGCCTGTAAAACAGCTGCAATTCAGACTGCACACACAGCAGTGGGGAGTTTCTAAGTACATGATTTAGACTTCAGACATCCAAATGGACTGGTTAATAATGTCAAAAAGCTGTCACCAAAATTTGCTGTCATTCAGTCACCAAAATTTAAGATCACATTTAAATAAACATCTCTAGGAAAAACACAAGTCCCGCATTCAATATTCCTAATGACAGAGAAAAACAGACGTCAGGGCAATTGACTTTCAGTAGTTAAATGGGGTCTTTGACAGAAGGTTTATCTATTATCCTGAGGGAGGAGATAGGATAGTACTGACAGGAATGGAGTAACTTTGAGGATTTGAGTTTAGATATAGTGGTTGCCACATTCTGGCAGAACTTGGTGATGTGTCCGAGACAGCTTCTATACCACATCAGGAATGGCACAGGGGTTAATAAGCGTATCAGCAAGCCTCCTGGCCACAACAGAGAAGAGATCCAGAGACTGACAGGGCAGGGATGAGCTGCCAGAGCAGGGCTTCCTTTAGGGGGTCTGACCCCACCAAGAGCTACTGGCTCTCCCATTCCAGTTTTCTATCAGCTAGAATTCCTGGAATTTTACACTGGACTGACCTTTTTAAAAGTGTGAGCTACTTCACACATCTGTCCTTTTTATGAGCCATGTAATTTCCAAGGAAAGGATTAGTCCCAGTGATGGGAAAGTGGAACTTTAGGACTTGGTCAACATTTGGCAAGGTCAGGGACAGAAATGTTTCTTGAGATTTTTCTGGATATGGAAGAGAATTTGTAGCCAGGCATTTGGTCCCTTTTGGAATTTGTTATGAGTTGGAAGAGAAAAAAAAAAAAAAGAACCAGCATTCATTCCTTAAAGAAAAATGGTATGAGAACAGCAAAAAGGGAGGTTGGCAAGGATCAAAGAAATGTGTGGTGATTTTCTCAGGGAGTAGCCCTACTTTCTCTCTCTTGCCAAAGGTCAGAGCCTTTCTTTGGGAAAGGGGGCCTACTGCAGATTAATGACAGTCCTTGCTCCTGTCTGTCGGGTAAGTCTGCCAGGAGAACCAGAGATGGCCAGTGAGACACCTCACGGTCCTGCTTGTCTGGGGACCTGAGTTTTCCACCAGATGAGGGTGCTAACAGATGCCAGCCTCCCCAAACTTTGAGGCAGCTCCTTCTCCTTCTGTGTCAAGGCCATCAAGGGAAACTGGCTCCCCAGAGAGAAGAAGGCAATGGTGCCTACAAGGTGTGTTGATGTGAGGGGGTATGGAGGGTGAGCTTGGCAACAGAAGATGTATGCACAGCTCCTACCTCTGCACCCCTCCTGCCAAGCGGCTCTGAATCCCATCTCGACCAGTGGCTCTATGAGCTGGGTGCATCTGTATTCCTCAGGGGCTGGCTCAGCCCCATCCCGGTGACAGGTGATCGGGGCCTGATTCCTGCCCAGAAGAACCAAGGCCAACCAATCCGAAGACCTGACAAAGCCTTTCACCAGGGACTATGCAGGCAGCACAGAGAAATCAATAATGACTCTAGGTTAGCAAGGACAGGAACATCGCACTTCAAAGAGATCAACATAGGAAAGATGCTTTTAAAGACCAACCTTTGATGTTTCAGCTTTCTTTTCATTTTGAGTCTGGTAGATTCTATGCTTTGTGAGCAGCTGCTGAACCATGATTTAATTATACATCTGCTCATGTATCATTATTAATTATAATGTTAAGTTTAAGCAATTTACAAATAGTGTCGCAGGCTGGACAAGCAAATTAAATTACACAAATTTAACTTCTTTCCTTCTCAGTTTATTCGGTAAGGGAGGACAAGCGGATAAAAACATGTGGGCTAATGAAAACTCCGTGCTTGCTCTGAGGCTATTGTGTAGCTGAAAGTAGGCTTATGACAATGCCTATGGTTCACTCATCTGCCAGTTTATCGCAGAAGGGAGGCAGGAAGCGAGGCAGGAAAGCTACTTTCGCAAATGGCGCTGGTGTAAATCCACCCGCCCCCGCCCCCCGAAACACTGCTGAGCTGGTCCATTACCTTGCTCCAGTTTCCCACTTTCCAGCTGGCGCAGGGACGGAGGTGGCACCTCTTGGCCGGGTCTGGCCTCCGCAGGGTGGCGCAGTCGGAATCCACGTGGGTGCTGCACTGCACGCTCCGCCAGTAGGTCCCCAGCCCGCACGTGGTGGAGCACTGCCCGGGAGGAGGGAGAGATGACAGAGGCTCAGGGCAGCTTCCTCACTACAGCTCACCCCGCCCCACCCCACCCCGGAGGCAGGGGTCCTCCATCTTGGCTACTCACTAAACCCTGCGCAGAGCTTCAGAAACTTAGCAGCGCTGGGGCTCCCGCCGCGAACAATCGGAATGGCTGAGGGTAGGGCTCAGGCAGCAGTAGTTAAAAAAACAAACCCCAGCTGATTCTAATAAGCAGCCAGGGTTGAGAATCCCTGATTTCTCTGCGGGAGGAAAACCCAGTGCAAATGGAAATCTGCTTCCCTTTACAAAGTTTCCTGGCTAGAAGGTCTATGGAATGACTACGAGCTACGGGCACACTGCTGCATTTCATCAACGCTGTTCATGGAAAGAGAAGAGTAGAAAATAGCCTAGGTCAACGGTTGTTTCACCTGGCTCATTTATGGAGGCAAATGGGCTTTCCTGGTGGCTCAGTGGTAAAGAATCAGCCCCGCAACACAGGAGAGGTGGCTTCGATCCCAGGGTCAGGAAGATCCCCTGAAGAAGGAAATGGCAACCCACTCCAGTATTCTTGCCTGGAAAATCCCACAGATGGAAGAGCCCGGAGGACTATAGTCCATAGGGTCACAAAGAGTCAGACACAACTGAGCAACCGAGCACTGTATTATGTGTGTATACATACCAGTGAACCGCGAGGGAAGCCCATTTACCTCCATAAATGAGCCAGTTGAAAAAACTGTTGACCTAGGCTATTTTCTACTCTTCCCTTTCCATGAACAGCATTGATGAAATGCAGCAGTGTTCCTGTAACTTGTAGTCATTCCACGACCTATACATATATACACATAATACATACATACACATATACATAATACACATAAAACATATATAAAATATGTGAAAGTGAAAGTCACTCAGTTATGTCTGACACTTTGTGACCCCATGGACTACACAGTCCATAGAATTCTCCAGGCCAGAATACTGGAGTGGGTAGCCTTTCCCTTCTCCAGGGGATCTTCCCAACCCAGGGATTGAATCCAATTCTCCCACATTGCAGGTGGATTCTTTACCAGCTGAGCCACCAGGGAAACACAAGAATACAGGAGTGGGTAGCCTATCCCTTCTCCAGGGGATCTTCCCGAGCCAGGAATGAACCTGGGGTCTCCTACATTGCAGGCAGATTGTTAACCAGCTGAGCTACCAGGGAAGCCCATATATATATAATATATATTAGAGATAACAGCTGAAGTGCATAGACTCATTGCACTAGTGGCCCCACTATTCACACCCATGCTGTTTGCAATGGACTTCACAGCTCCTCTCATCAAATGATAGAATGTATTTCCCCAGCTGTTGAATCAGGACTGTTCTTGCATCTTTCTTTTGCCAAGAAAATGCAGTGGATGATGGTGTGCAAGTTCTTAAGAAATCTTCCTTGTTTCAGTTCTCTCTCTCAGACCCTTGTCTCTGCCATGAGAATAAAACTGGCTTTCAAGAGAACAGCATCGAAACATGTATATCTAGGGTGAAACAGATCACCAGCCCAGGTTGGATGCATGAGACAAGTGCTCAGGCCTGGTGCACTGGGAAGACCCAGAGGGATGGGGTGGAGAGGGAGGTGGGAGGGGGGACCGGGATGGGGAATACATGTAAATCCATGGCTAATTCATTTCAATGTATGACAAAAACCACTGCAATGTTGTAAAGTAATTAGCCTACAACAAATAAAAATAAATGGGAGAAAAAAAAAAAAAAACTGGCTAACCTACTGGAGGATGAGAGATCATGTGAAATCAAGCTGGGTGACCCAGCTGAGGCCATCTCAGACCAGCCAGCCTTCAGCTAACCCTTCACCAGATGCATGACAAGCCACGCTGAGATCAGCTAAGCTCAGCCTGGGTCAGAAGACACTTCCAGGAATCCACAGACTCATGGACAAAAATGAATGTTTACTGAGGTTTTATGGTTGGTTGTTACAAAGCACTATTGTGGTAATAGATAATGGATACAACTACACAACAGGTACTTTTCCTATATTTTCTCTAACCTCGGAGACTCAGGATACAATTAGAATTCTGCAGTTCACTAATTGTGTGATCTTTGGTGGTTTCTTAACTTCTCTAGCAAGTAAAACTGGTGATAAGACTAGGACCTCATTTAAGTTGCTGTGAGAACAGTAGAGTTAATCCATACACAAAGTGAGTGATCTACAAATGTTACTTATTAAACATAGCAGTGTAACTGAAGCTCCAATACTTGGTCACCTGATGCAAAGAGCCGACTCATTAGAGAAGACCCTGATGCTGGGAAAGATTGAAGGCAGGAGGAGAATGGGATGACAGAGAATGAGATGGTTGGATGACATCACCAGCTCAATGAACATGCGTTTGAGCAAGCTCCAGGAGACAGTGAAGGACAGAGAAGCCTGGCATGCTGCAGTCCATGGGGTTGCAAAGAGTCGGACAGGGCTGAGCGACTGAGTAACGACAAAAACAAATATTGCACACCTGCAAGGTCAGCGCTGTGAGTCCCACTCTCCAGATTTCTAGGGCCCAGACAGTTTAGCAGTTATGCTCAAGGTCACAAAGACAATGCAATGTTAATTTCACACCATGGTAAGGAAAAAAACAATGTTTGTTCTAAACCCAGGAGAGGAGCTAGTGAAACCAAATTCCCAGGCTAGTGATGACCTTGGTACATCTCAAGTGATGTCTATAGCTCTGTGTGCCATATTTATGTGGTAAATAATCGTGTCTCTGGGGATCTGAGTCTAGTCCTGTAGGGTTCAGATGTGAGCAGACATTTGTTTAATTCCTTTTTGACAATTTCAATTTAGGCAGCAAACGAGTCCAAAGACAAAGATGACAGGAGGACATTCATGGAATGCAGTAAGCGAAAGGGGATTCCACTGATTGTCTCTTATGTTGGTTTAAAATTGGGAGTGGGGGGTGCAGAGACGAGAAGATCCTGAGGAGGCAGAGGAACAGCTTCTCTTTGTCCTGGGAACCTTCTCCCTCCTTACAGCCAGTGGCCCTGTGATAACTGATTTACCAGGTCAAGGACCAGGTATTGGGGTGTTCAGAACTGGAACTGCTGTGCAGGGCTATATCAGAATCATGTGAAAACTGCTGTGAAAGGCTGTGGAAAGTTACACTGTCACTTCCATTTACATGACTGCACAGCATACATTTCACTGACTGGCCCAGGGGATCTGACTGAATGAAGAGGTAATGGGATGAGAAGTGATCTTCTGTCACAATGAGATCCACACCCATGCACAGTGTGCGGCTCCTGAGTTTTCTGTCTTGTAATATATCTCAAAGTAAATACTCACTGAGCACTTCCTATATGCCTGACACTCTTCTACACACAAGTTATTCCTCTTATTTCATAATAATCGTATGAATCAGGCATTGTTATCCTCATTTTAAAAATGAGGAAATGGGTGTGGAGAGAACATACAGTCAGTAAGTGATGGAGCTAGTACTCAAACCCAGAATGTCTGCTTTCAAGTTTTATGTCTATTCACAATATGAACTTGGTTTTGGTGGCTTAGATGGTAAAGAATCTGCCTGCAATGCAGGAACCCTGGGTTTGATCCCTGGGTTGAGAAGATCCCCTGGAGAAGGGAATGGCTACCCATTCCAGTATTCTTGCCTGGAGAATCCCATGGACAGAGATGTCTGGTGGGTTATAGTCCATGGGTTCACAAAGAGTCGGACATACACATTTAATATTTGAAATCACAAGTAGTTAGAGGCATACGCTGTGAACAGCCCTTCAGCACAGGACAGAAAGTGGGAGGACAAAGGTAAGAGAGATTTCTGATCGAATGCTAAGGAACTTTAGAACTTACTTCCAATATTAAAGAGCAAGAAAGTCTTTATGGAAGACGCAGCTCAAAGCTTGATACTGAAGAACAGGTAGGATTTATTAATAAAAGGAGAAGGAGAAGGAAATTTCAGGCAGAGAAAACCATGGAAACAAAGGAACTGAGCTGAGATGAGCAGAAGGTTTAGTGGAAACAAAGCAGTTGAGATTTGCTGAGGCTTAGGTGGGTGAAGGCATAGGAGTTAGTATGTTGAAAGCTGAATTATTCAAGGATGTGAGGGCTGTTGGATAATAGAGTGGACTTTATATGATCTGATATGCAATGAAGAGACATTAGCAATTTATGATTAGGTGTTCAGAATGATTAGAAAATTCCTTTAGGAAGAGTAATATGGTAGTAATATGGCAATACATCGCTTGCGATATGTGGAAAGCATTGGGGAGAGCAGAGATAGTAAGTACCCAGACCAGCAAGAGCAAGAGCAAGAGCAAGGGCAAGGGTCCTAACAAGAGTAGCAACCGAGTGTCCACCATTCCTGACTATTGTGGTGCTACTGGCATTTTGGATTTCCCAAAATGTCACAGGACCCTCATGATCTTTGGCTCCTAGACCCTGAATGCTGGCATCAGCCTCTCCGCCCGCACTGTAACAAACAAAGCATCCCTACTTTTTTCTATATGCCTCCCAGCAGCAGACTGGAAACCACTGGGCCTAAATGAGCAGGAAATAAAGAGATGACAGACACGATGTTTTTATTTCCTGTTCATTGAGGCCTCCCCAGTGGCTCAGTGGTAAAGAACCTGCCTGCAATGCAGGAGACGTGGGTTAGATCCCTGGGTTGGGAAGATCCCCTGGAGA